GTGGGTTTCATTCTTATCAGATGTGGGGGTCTAATAGTCTAATTTGAGCCGCTTTAGGGGTCCTTGACGTGAAAACGTTTGAGAGCTGCTGGTTTAAAGAAGCTGTTTCCCCTCTTCCTCTTCTTTGTCTCCCTTTTCCCACTTTGCTCTGGGCAGCGTTTCAGAAACCTCAGGAAACTGTCATTGTGTGGAAAATCCAGACCACATGTGAGCACCACACACACATACACACACAAACACACAAACACACACACACACACACACACACACACACACAGACCTTAGACATAAAGCTGAAAATCAGTTTCATAACTCCTGTGCAGCTACTGAACTGATTTCCTGATTTAAAGCCTCTGCTCTGCTTTACAGCTTTATTCTGTTTTGTATTCAGTGAACTCTGACGCATGTGAGCAGCTGTTATTTTGTGTGCTCTGCGTTCATACTCAGTAAAGGAAGTATGGAAAATCATTTTGGCGTCAGTGCAACACACATTGTTCTAAAATATTCTCCTGCAGAAAGGGTTTTAGGGAAGAGTCATGTGACCAGAGTTTCCCATGTGAAGAACTGATCAGAAACTGAGCGGCGCAGCTGCTCCTGCGTCTCCACAGTAAAGTCTGACAGAGTAATATCTCAGTAACCTGGATCAAGTGTAAGGTTGTGTTTACAGAAAACACACTACAGCTTAGTGTGTTTTCTGAAGGCTTCTTTAAAAACACACCAGCAGGATAGAAATAAGTTCTGTCTGCAGGACATAAAATGAATAAACATGCATAAAAACTAACTTTAAAATACTTTTTATTATTAAGCAAAGTGCCCTGCACATTAATCCATTTGTTACCTGCCCCCACTCCCTAAAACTACACTACAATGTAATATCAGAATAAGAAAACTTAAGAAATCTATTTTTTTGCATTCAAGCTATGCTTTAAATATTTTTTCTTCATAAAATGTTTGGACTATTTGAGTTAAAATACACATTTTAGTTGTGTCCCCGGGTCTTCACTCAGTCCTGTTACCCTAATTCCCCCACTAAAAAAACTAGAACTTTCCACAAGTCCCATGTTTAAAAGAAAGTTGCATCTTCTGAAGCTCATGGGAAGACCAAAAGTAAGTTCTCTAATTTTCTTTTCCTTATATTTAATGATATTGTAACTGTGACGGAGCAGGTCAGTTACAATATTCATTCCTTCCATCCATCGTCAGCCGCTTGTCCTGCGTACAGGATCGCGGCGGGCTGGAGCCAATCCAACGTGTTTTAAGCACAATAAACACAGCCTGCGGATACTACAGCTGTATGAACCCAAAATATAAACCCTTGGCTGTGATTTAATAGCAATAAACGGATCAAACTGATGCCGAAATAACGACAATATGATGCCGTTTTGTTAAACATATGAATTTGTCAGCAAGACGACAACTTTTAAAAATGTGTGTTTTCTGAGTGGAGTTCGGATTGATCAGGGCTATGCTGTGCTATGCTATGCTAGCCTGTTCACAGTAAAGTACGACAGCTGGAATAAAGTTACAGACACTCATGTTCTAAACGCACCAGGTAGTTCAACCTCCTCACTTTCTATTCTCCAAGTAATGTCCAGTTGTGTCCGGTTTTTATATAAAAATGAAGTCGTAGTCCGACAGAACTCCGCTTTGTTCTTTTCAAAAACAAGTTACAAAGTGCTTTAACAAGTGTAAAGACAAAATAAAACATAGGATAAAAGCAAGAAAACATTGAAAAGACTAAAAATACAGATTAATATAAAATTAGTAAAATAGAATAAAATAAAAGGGATAAAATAAAGTCAAATAAGATCGGGAAAGGCTCTCCTATAAAAGTCTGTTTTAAGAAGGGACTTAAAAGAGTTCACTGACTCAGCCGACCTGATTTCCTCAGGCAGGCTGTTCCAGAGCCTCGGGGCCCTGACAGCAAACGCTCTGTCCCCTTTAGTTTTCAGTCGAGACTCTGGAACAGACAACAGACCTCTGCCCGAGGATCTCAAGGTACGTGCTGGTGCGTATGGGACTAAAAGTTCAGAAATATAACAAGGCGAGAGGCCATGAAGGGCTTTAAAAGTGATCAATAGAATTTTAAAGTCAATTCTAAAACACACTGGGAGCCAGTGTAATGAAGCTAAAATAGGAGTAATGTGATCATATTTCTTTGTTCTGGTTAAAAGCCTGGCAGCTGAGTTCTGGACAGTCTGGAGTCGATCAATAGATTTTTGGGTTAAACAGGTGAAAAGGCTGTTGCAATAATCCAGACGTGATGAGATGAAGGCGTGTAAAATGGTCTCGGTGTCCTTAAAAGTTAACATAGATCGAATTTTAGCTATATTTCTAAGTTGAGCTGAGCACATACCTAAAGGGATCTAAACCAGGTTTCTTTAAAAGTGGGTTCACGCAAGCCGTTTTAAAATAATCAGGGACACAACCAGTAGATGTCACACTCTGCCGGACAGCCATTCTTTGTGTTGCACTTGTTAGTTAGTATCTTCCTTATAGTATGTTGGGTTTTGGGGGTCTGTCTTGTCTGTCGTCTAGTGTTTGGTAACCCTTGTCATGTCTGTTACCCCAGTGATCCCTCTGCATCTCTGTCTCTGTTTTCCCCTGCTCTCTCTCCCTGCCTGTGCCTCATTAGTCTCATGTCCCTCACCTGTGTTGCTCCCGCCCTGCTCGTTAGTCCCTGTGTCTATATATACCTGGTGTTTCTGTCTTGTCTTTGTTGGGTCATTGTATGTTGTCACCCTGTGTAGCAGCGTGTCTCTTGTCTCCAGCCTTACTCACCATGTCTCCCTGTAAACCTGCTCAGTTTTTGGATTCTGGTTTTCACCCTTTTGGATTTCTGTTGGACAGCCTTTGTTTTGGGACTCTGTCATCAGCCACTCAGTTTGTAAGTGTGCTCGCCTTTTGTTTGCTTATTAAAACCACTGAACCATACCTGCTCCGCTCTGTGTCCTGCGTTTGGGTCCTCCAACCTGCTCCACCCTGCCCTCACCACAAATTCCTGACAGTAGATAGGGAGCTGTTGAAAACAGAGATCAAATGGGGCCCAACAGAATCCATTACTTTCAGTAGAAACTTTGTAGGTATTACATCAAGCAGGCTGGAGGACAAATATATATATAAATATATATATCACAAATGAGAATTTGTGATACTGTTTTTAAAAGCTCAGACAAGTCGGTGGGATAAAACTGGTTAAAACTCTGTTGTTGCTGGTGAGGGACCTCTGAGTAAGAGGCCACGGGGGTAATAGAGGCTCTGATTGACACCACCTTATTGGTAAAATAAGATTAAAAACAATTCACAGTCCTCATTACTTCCAGCTGAGTCACAAGGAGGGGTTGGGTTTACCAGCTGATCCACAGTCTTAAACAGAAACCTGGGATTGTGTTTATGTGTAGTAATGAGTTCAGAAAAATAGTGTGTTCTCGCATCCTTAACCATGTTATTGTAGTTAATTAATAAATCCTTCAGACTGAGGTAATGGACTTGGAGACTGGATTTTTTCCATGCATTCCCTTTTGAGGCTGCGAATGCTGTCATTTATTCAGGGTTGCTTACTAGCTTTAGACGGAGGCCTAACCTAGAGGAGCAGTAATATTTAGTGACGACAAGCAGATATGATTGAAGTGATCGACCAGATTGTTGGTGTTGGAATCAGACAGGTGTTGGCTTTGGCTCTGAAACAATGCGCAAAACTTTGAAACACTTTGTTCATTAAAGATGCAAGAACACACGGAGCTTAGTGAGGCGGCATGAGTAACAGGAGAATCGCAGCTAAAAACAATACATCTGTGGTCAGATATGGTCATGTCCACTAATTCCACAGAGGAAAAGCTGACACCCAGGGTAAAAACCAAGTCCAGTGTATGACCACGGTTATGTGTTTGTCCTTTGACATGTTGTTTGAAGTTAAAAGAAGTGGCCATATTTAAAAAGTCAGTTGCATTAACATTGGTGGGGTCATCAACATGAATATTAAAATCACCACAAAGAACAGTTCAATTCAATTTTATTTATATAGCACCAAATCACAACAACAGTTATCTCACAGCGCTTTTCATAAAAGAGCAGGTCTAGACCGTACTCTATGATGATATTTACAGAAGCCCAACAGTTCCCACCAAGAGCAGCACTAGGAGACAGAGGCAAGGAAAAACTTCCTTTAAGAGGCAGAAACCTCGAGCAGAACCATGGCAACAGTTCTGTCCGTCTGTCTTAAAAAGAGACATTCTTTGCCAGAAAATATTAAAATTATCCACATAACACCCACGGTGAGCCCTGCAGGCGGACTAGAGCCAGTCGTGGAGGCCAAGTCTACTGAAGCATAGCGGTTGGAGAGGCCGATGTGCAGAGGAGAGGCAGCCCCGTCCGAGCCTCTCTTGCAGCCACGGACCACCACTTCAGCCCAGGTTGACTGATGCTTCGGAGTCGAGCAGCAGGAAAGCCTTGTGTGCTAGCAGCCCCTGCTGGCCAGAGTTCATTTCACTATAAAGGTGTGCAGTTATCTGTTGGCCAGAAGCACCCTGACCCCACAGAAGATTGATCTTTACACAACATGATTCTGCAAAAAAAAAAAGCTGCTCCCCCATCATTTCTACATCAACATTTATTTTTCACTCTGAAATGAGAGGTGAAGCTGAAACCCAGCCACCACCCTGACCTTTGCATCCTTCACACCCTTCACATTTAGGTGACACTATGTTTGGCATTTGCACAAAACTGTGACACTGAGCCCGAGTCGTGTCCTGCTGAATCATCCAGTATGAAGGTTCTTCCAAGGGACTCTTGGCTGGACAGAATTAAAATGAAACTAAAAATGTAAAGTTTGTTCAGAGGATGTCAAAATGAAAAGTGCATCCTGTGGAGCGCAGGAATAACCACAAGTCATGATTTAATGACATAGAATAAAAAGTAGAAGTTAAAAGTCAGTTACGTTTTGAACCAACTGAGATCACTGTGAAAAACCTGCAAGATCTGACGACACAACGAGGTAGACGTGTTTTGTTTCATTGTCGTGTTTATTTCGTTTTATACAAATGACAATATTTATTTACCAATCCCTCGGTGAGCTCAGAGTTTTGTCTGTGTGTTTGAGTTTCCTGTCAGATTAACATGTTTCAACGTGAAAAGTACAAAATCATGTGAAATCAAACATCCTCGCAAATATCTGCCTCCACAAACGCAGAGCAAACACCTGAAATCCCTCCTAGGACCTGCTAAGAGTGTGTGTGTGCGTGTTATATCGTCAGGGTCTTCGGGTTGACCACCCTGCCGATGAAGAGCAGCGCCCCCGACGCTTCGTCCCGGATCAGGTAGAGGAAGGGCCGGTCCACTCGGTAGGACAGGTGGGATGGCGTTGAAGTGGCGCTGGGGTACTGGTTCCCCTCAGGTGCCGTCTCCATGACGACCTTGTGATTGACGCTGCTGAGCTTGGAGGGCTGAACCGAGATCTTCTCCAGGTCTGGGTCCGCTAGCCAATCAGAGAGACCTGCAGGGAGGGAAGAGGAGGAAGATGCAGCAAGATGAGATGATCAAAGATCAATAATCATTCATAGACCATCAATAACATCACTTCCTGCCATAACAAGCCATTCCAGTGAACACGTGTTGCATCATATATAATCTTCTCTGTTTGACATAACTCTAAATGGAACATCTTTAGGTATCGGTTTGGTCGGACAAAAAGAAGACATTTGAACTTTGGTGTTATTCTATATTTTTCTTATTGTTAGCAAATATTCAGATTCAAACCAACAACCTGTCGGTCCTGTCTGACTTCCTGTCTGTGACTCTCAGCTCCAAGCCTATTGGTTCCTCCTGAAGATGTAAATCACCTCACAAATATATAGTTTCATGTTGTAAGAAACTGAGTAATTTCCTTAAACAGCTGCTCGCTGTGGTTTCTGTAGTGCTTTTGTTGGGGACTATTTTCAGCGGCGGATGAATCAGGATGTGATCTAATGAGTATTTGGCGCAGCAGGTGCATGTGGGACTACAGTGTGTGTGTGTGTGCTTGGTGAACACGTGACCCAGTGCAGCAGAGAGGCTCACTGATGGTTTAGTAGTTTCTTTGGTTCAGAGGACGAGGAGACATCAGGCTGTGAGACACAGGACTTGCTGGTAGATTTGTTCACTGCTGGTTTGAGGCTTTTTATGGGATTTCTTTAAACTAAGGACACCAGATGTATCCTTTAAAGTTGAAGTTTAAAGTTTATAATCAACCAAGCAGGTACGGTATCTCACAAAAATCTATCTTACGACTCTTACTTGGAATCTAAACAGATATCAATACAAACAACATATTTGTGCAATGTTGGTCCTTTATTTGAATCGGTACTTGTTGGAAATCCACGTTAAAGGCAGACGGCCTTTGCTTGTCAGACTTGGACTCACCCAGATCACTGAGCAGCGGCAGCAGGTCTGTGGAGTAGCTGAGCCTCAGCGTTGGCAGAGTGAGGGACACCTGAGCAGGAAGGAGCGTCATGGAGAGGTCCTGGACGAACTCGGCAGTCAGACTCTCCTCCAGCAGCGTCATGTTGGAGGTCACCTCATCGGGCAGGAAGATGAACATGCTGACGTCGTCCTGCATCTGGATCTGAGCGATCTGGAGGATGGGGACAAATGTACGTTTAGGACAAATCTTACATAAGAACTTTACTCAAGCATCACAGCCTGGGTAGTGGTGTCACCACACAGGGATTATGGGTAATGAAATTTTGGTGTCAGCCCTGTGACTGACTAGCGATCTGTCCATAGTGTCCATAGTGTCCATCGCCTCTCGCTCCATAGCAGATGGACGGATGAATGGATGGATGGGTGGATGGATGGGTGGATGGGTGGATGGATGGATGGATGGATGGGTGGATGAATGGACGGATGGGTGGATGGGTGGATGAATGGATGGGTGGATGGATGGATGGATGGAGTGAGGGATGGGTGGGTAGGTGGGTGAATGGATGTACTGTGCACTGTAGTACATTCAGTTGTAGTTTAAAGGGCACGTGTTGATGTTTCAGAGTAGAACAAACTCACCGTGCAGCTCAAATCGGAGTCGGCACCCATCTTCAGGGGGTAGTTATCCTGTTGCATCATGGGAATGAGAACAGGTGCCCCACCGTCCACTTGGAAGTTCTCCATTGCTCCACTCTGACCAAACCGTGTCACCCACTTCCCTGTTGACAACATGAGAATAAATCTGCATTAATCCAAGAAGCAGCGTTCAAACCAACCCAACAGGAGTGTTCGACAGTCAGAAGATTCTGCGGCGTTTGACTTACCTTTAAAGTAGGCAGCACTCACAGTGTTCACTCCAGAGTTTCGGGGGAGAGCTTTGGAAAGGAAACGCTGTACCTTCCCGCCCGTCTCCTGAGCCACCCAGTCGTTGATTTCGGTAAGATCTTTGGTTCCTCCCAGTAGTGGTTTGGGCCGAACTCCGTACTGCTGCTCCACCAGCGGAAAGAAGTCCTGCTTGAGACGAAGTCCTGAGAACAGACGGGTCAATCAGTCAGCTTAAAGGTCAGAACACAAGTGAACATTATAATCAATGATACAAACCTTTCTGTTGCCAAATCACTCTCTTAAGGCCGCAGTGTGCTTCTCAGCTCGCCCAGCAGCAGCTGAAACTTCCTTCGCCAACGCCTTTCCGGCGCCGGAATCAGGACGGTTGCAACTGACAATTTTTGTGTCTTTCCAACACAGAACATCTGACAACAATGCCCATGTCTCTGCTCGCCAACAGGAGCTCTGGAGGAAAGCCGAGGGTGGCGCCGGAGCTTTGGAAATTCTGCTCTGATAACTGAGCCGTTTAACGGCGGGAGGAGCTCAGAGGTAACTGCTTTTATTAAGTCAGAACTAAAGAAGTCCTTTGGATGAGGGACGAAACATCTTCTAGTATTAGTAGTCCAGTTGCCCTTGACTTTAACCTTCTCAGGATGCTTTTATTAAATTAACTTTTTACTTAAGTTTCTGGGATTAAAACTTTGATTCATTTTCACTCGCGCTTCTCAGCATCAAGCCATCGTGTTTCTGACCCCCGCTGTTGTTGGAAACCTCATATTTATACAGACCGGACAAACCAGAGATTGCTTGGAGAAAAGTGAGGAAGCTGAATTACTGGGTAAGTTCTGAAAAGATGTGTCTGTTACTTGATTCCTGTTATCTGTGTACTTTACCATAAAAGATGTTTGCATGGCGTACCCCTGATCGATCTGAACTCCATTTGGAAAAAACGTATTTTAAAAGTTGTTTGCTTGTCATCTTGCTGACAGACAAAACATGACTTAATATTTTTAACAAATCAGCATCATGATGTTGTTATTTCAGCATCAGTTTACTGCAACTACATCACTGCAAAATGTTTATTTTGGGTTCATAGAGCTGTAGTAATGGTCGGTTGTGTTTATTCACGTTATCGTGTGTGTACTCTCGGGCCAGTAGTCCAGTGGTTAAACTCACACGATAAACACAACACAACTTTAAAATTGAAACCAGGACCTCTTGACCTGTACGACATTTTCTCATTTTGCCAGACACATTGCGGCTAATATCTTCAGTGCTCCTGTTGACTGTGTGATTCATACAGTTTGTTGCACTTCTAAAAGTATTTCTTTGCAGAGAATTGAGCTTGCTCCTGTAGGTAAGCCATGTTTAGTTGTTGTCGTAGTTCAAAAGAGATAATTACACATGTTCACCTCCAGCTGCCCACCCCCCCCTACATGAACTCACGTCTTGCCAGGTAGATGCGTGCGGCAGTGCTCAGGCCCTTCCCGGGCGCCCTGACCGAGGCCAGCAGGGCTTTCAGGGTGTCGTGAAGCTGCGGGTCCTGCAGGGTGTGGTACCTCAGAGCCCTGAACAGCTGACTTTGAGCACGCTCAGACCCTCCTGGGGGACAGGAGGGATCATGTTAAGTGAGTTAAATGTTTCCTTCTTCCTGACTCAGGCATACTGAGGCACAGGGTCTAAACTGGAAATATCAGAGGCAAGTCACAAGTCAAGACGGACAAGTACCAAATGTACTGCCATTTTAGCAACCAAATAACAATATGTTCAATTAACGCGAATAAAGAATGATTTTTTTAAATTTGTATTTATTTGTTAAACATGTGAGACTGAACTTAATGGGTTTAGGGGAAGGAATACAGTATTTTAAAGTCAAAAGGCTCAAGTCCAAGTGAAGTTTCGAGTCGTTGGTGTTAAAGTCCAAGTCGAGCTGCATGTCTTGTCTTTGTTTTTGTTGAGTCTAAAGAATTTGTGACTGACTTTAGGATATTAAATGTTACTATTAAAGCTGCAGTTCTATTTTTGGCCACTTAAAGGTCGAGTGGAGAAACACAAACCTGTGTTACAGCTAACATGTTAGATGAACTGCTGCACATCCAGAAGACACAGAGCAACTCATCCCATTGACTTTTGTTACTTTAGGCCATGTGAAGACGTACGACTCTAACCTACAGTGTGTGTATATGAGACAGAGCTAAGAAAGTTAAAATATGGCCTCGAGTTGAACATTTTGCTAGCCATCAGGGCCAGATTAAGATCAGACAGAAATGATTAGCTTGTGCAGCAGTAAACGTTGTCTGTCTATAATCTGTGCACTTTCTCAGCTTAGACTGAGCAGATGAAAATAAGTCACATATGGACAAAGAAAAGAGAATTAACTCAACGCATGTGAGAAATAAATCTAATCATGTGTCACTGCCGACCAGCAGACGACGTTGTTTTTAGGGAGCAGCACATAAAAACTGAAATTACTTTACACCAGTTTGGCCAGCAGGCCCGTACACACCATGGCGGTCAAAACCAAAGCACCAGTTTGGATTGAGTTTGTGTGTTTGTGTCTTCACCCATGGAGAGCTGCGTGAGCGCCGCAGACACAGTGATTGGGGCCAGGAAGACGTTGCCTGCAGCTTCGCGGCTCGCCAGAGCGCGGAACAGGTTGTAGCCGAAGTCCGAGGTGGCGGCACCCATCTTAGTCGTCGGTGTGGTGAAGAGCTCCACATGTTCCTCCTCCCCACCCGCCTCCTCGCCTCCCGTCTCCGACTGGAACGGATCAATTAAGACAAGAGTCAGGAGATGGGAAACAGAAAGTGCCGTTGAGAGATGGACTAACGTCGTGTTGGTTGGGGTCAACACGTGAGATTTGGTGACAATAAGAAAAAGATAGAACAACAACAGACTTTAACTCTAACTCTGAAGTTAAACGGAATCAGGCGATGTGTGGATACCTGAGCCTGACAGAAGCTCAGCACGACTCCAAACACCAGCAGGAAAGTTGTTCGCTTCATCCTGGAAGACAAACACAAGAACAAGATGTACCTCCAAGACCTGTGAAGACTCAGGAATAGCTTATTCTAATGTTCAGTGAGGAGCTGACTATCACTGATACGACACCTGAGTTTCTGTTCCAAAAACAAAATATGCTAAATGCTCAGTGCCTAGCCATGTTTCCATCCAATTGTCATGCAAATTTTAAGCGTACTTTTGAAATGCCGCAAAAAAGAAAAAAAATAGAAACATGTTTCCATCAGCTGGTTTGGAGCGAATAAACCAGGCTACGGTGAGCGTCATTACGTCAGTAGTGACGTTACACATGGCTGTAATAAAGGAGACGTCTGGGTTCCAAACCAGAAACAAAACCAGTCGCATGAACCTGAGGACCACTGATCTTAGAAAAATGGAGCCAGCCATGTCTCCGCACGTTATGGGAATATCCGGTGTTGTGCAGAGTTCTGCACGCACCTCCAGATAATGCTTTTAAACGCTCTATTATCCTCTGTGGGGTTCATCAGCGGTGATAAATGATTCCATCTCCCATTTAGCACATTTACTCGTTGTTTTTATGCGCATTTTGAAGTAGACTATCACATTACAAAAGGTTGATGGAAGCAGCAAAATTCTAGAAAAAGAGTTTGTCGAAAAAGAGTAAATGTGCTAAACAGGAGACGGAAACACTTTTTCCAAATAAGTTCTAACGTAGCGAACTTCTAGTGTCGGCATCTTGCCGGATATTCCCGTAACGTGCAGAGAAACGGCTGGTAGCAACTTGGCCGCTTGAAACACATTCTTGAGGACCTCTCTACATTTTTTTAAGATCAGTGGTCCTCAGGTTCATGGGACTGGTTTTGTTTCTGGTTTGGAACCCAGACGTCTACTTTGTTTTTCTTTTTTGCAACATTTCAAAAGTACGCTTAAAATTCGCATGACAATTAGATGGAAACATGGCTACTGTTAAACCCGCAACAGCAGAAACAAACATATCGTCACATTTTAAGTTGACATGTTGAACTTCTGATGAAGGTGAGTCCGGTTCTCTCTCTGTTAGCTCTGTGTATGGTCTCCACCAGCTCCTGAGGGAAACACCTGCCTCTTTAATGCTCCACTGACTGAGTCTGTCTGCTGTTTGCAACGTATACAGCGGCTTTTTACAGTGTCTTCTCTGGAAACAACGCTCTGACAGCAAACCAGAACAGAAAAGCTGCAGCTTGGTATCACTACCAGAGACATCTTTCACCTCAGGAAGTAAGAAAGGTCATCTGATTCTCATCAGATAATCTGACCAGATGTTTGGATTGATTGAAAGTGTTTTTGTTACAGACACATTTCAGTCAGTACCAAATAAGTACTGGGGTTCAATACCCAGCGCTAGTAGTAATAAATTATTAAATATATAATAATAACTCACCTGCTGCAACAACCATTAAGTATATATTTCTCTTTAGGAGGCAAAGACAAACTAAATCAAATCTGACATGTGGGACAGAGTGCAAGATAAACTTTGGAGGAACAAAGGGAGAAAAAAGTTGATAAAAACAGAGGAAGAACAGAGAGATTCTCCAAAAGTCTTCCTCTGTTTTTCAGGCTCAGAGACAATGATGACGGTCAGAGCCACATCATTTCACAGCAGTGTTTTGTATAATTGCAGGGGAACGCCCCAAAATTATACAACCAGCTGAAACTTATATAGGACCACGACAAAGATCATCTCTGCAGCCCGAGCACACAAACATCCAGAACTTCATAGAGTGAATCCCCAAATCAACATTCCTCTTACAAACAGCTTCCCTTGTAATCATGTGAGAAAATGAACCTCTGTTCTCACTCAACTCCACGTCGTCAGTGTTGCTGCTTGTTGAAGTTAAAGGTAGCTGCTCACGCTGCTCCGGGGTTTAAACAAACAGTGTGTCTAAAAGGGTCAAACACACACACAATGTCTCTTTTGTTCTGCTACACACATCTGGACCTGGTTGTCGTGGTTTCACATAAACAAACAACACATCTGTCATCTGAACCACAGGCCAGCCACACACACACACACCATGCCTGATGGGAAATCCAGATGCTGTCGTCCAAAAAGCTCAGAGGCTGCAGTTTCTTCCTCCTGACTTTCACTGAGATGCTGATCTTTTCTTTCCACCACCTTCTTAGAAAATCTCAAGTCATTAAAAAAAGACATTTTAAAAGACAGTTAATGAAGACAGCGAGCTGAGAACACTGATTTAGGAGTGGAAGATAGAGATTAGTGTGTATTTTTATTTTCAAGGATCGATATATGTTGTAAAATTGTACGTTTTCTGAAAACTAGATTTGAGATAAACTGAGGAAGTAAAATAACTGGACAGAAGCGTGTGTTTTCGGTTAATCCAGTTAACACCTGTCATTTTAAATTACTTTTGTTTTAAAGTCAGTTATTTATATGAACAATAACAAATGTTGTTGATCATTGTTACTTGTATTGCCCTATGAATGTGTGTTGAACTGCACCTCTGAAATTGAACTACTTGCCTGTGAGGTTGTCCTGTGTGTGGACAGGGTAAACTGCAAACAGATCGAGATCAATAAAGTCTGATCTGAATCAAATCCACGAATTATATAAAAATAAAAGATTCCCCACAATGGTCTCATATAACAAGAGACATTAAAAGGAAAAACAATCATGAAATGTTGACTGCCTCCCTTCATCTTTGATGTGTGAACAGGTCTGGTGGAGACCTGCAGAGTCCTGCAGAGTCCTGCAGCAGGCAGGAGCCAAACAGCTGTCACAGCAGACGCCTCCTGCAGGGACTGCTCTCTGATCCTCGGAGGAATGTTTTCTCACTGGCTGCTCTTCAACTCTTTGCTATCACATCAGAGGTCACAGCAACGACATTATTCCACAGAATTGCGGAAATATTCTTGGCACCAAAGTCTTTACAGCCCCAAGTAACCTCAGAGCCGCAAACCCACATTCTGTTCTTTAAATGATTCTTCTTCGTTAAAAACAGTGTCAATAAGAAACGTTACATCTTTAATATATTTCAGACACAACCGCATCTAATGATTAAAGTTTGTTTAACTTGCGTAAATCCGTGTTGAGACAGAGGACTGACCTGCTGTGAAATCAGAACTATTATATAAACTGTTCTGTGGAAAAGTTCCAGCTGTGTTTTTGGCACAGCGACGCAGAGCAGAGATGGAAAACCTGAACTGAACTGGAGAAAGTTCGTTTGTTCACTGTCTGGAAACCCAATCAGCAGGCCAGACAAAACGTTTCTGCGAGTTCAAATCATTATAAAACAGATTTAACAGCTTTAATCGATCTTAGAGGAAAGTTCACCAAACACTATTTCACAGAAATTCTCTTTCGGTAAAAGTTCATCATGCCGCACTAAATTAGCAGCAAATAAATGTCCACTATTTGGAGAAAAGAGAGCAAACTGCTCCACTGAGGTTAAAAAGAAAAAGTCAAATGTGCGTAAAAGCGAAAAATGAGCAACAAGGCGCGGAACAGCGCACTCACCTCTCCTCTGCTCCCGGACGGTTCAAGTCGCTCAGTCTCTCTCGCTGCAGATGAGAAGAGTCTGCGTCCAGCTGACGCCTCCCGGCTCTGCGCGCCCCCGCTGCTGCCAACGGGGACGCGCAGGACAAACCGAAGCAGCTGGATTAAGGTGAAGGAGACTTACAGCCAAAGACAGAAGACAAGAAACCAAGGGGGCAGAGGAAAACTAAACATGGTTTGAGATGTAACCTGTAGGCCACTTGTTCTGCACCCACCAGTGCTTCCATGCCCCTCCTTTAAGCCCAGAACTTTTAAGCAAACACATGAACCAAGTTATGGCACCCAAAATGACCTCTCAAACCTCCTACATGATTCTCTTAGAATCCTGGAAACAACCTCCAGAACCCCTGAAACCCCTTAAAATCTTGAGTGATTTTAGGAGGTATCAGGGGTTCTGGGGTTCTTCACTAGGATCAACTTAAATATCACTGGAACCACAACAGAGGTCCCTGCAGATCTCTGCTGAAACCTTTGCTGGACCTCTGAAACCTCCAAAAGACAGCTGGGACCATCCTAAGTACCCCTATGTCAGTCTGCAAAAGAGCTGCGATTCTGGGAAAAGCCTCCAGGTGAATCTGGTCTGCATGTTGCTTTGTTTGTCCGTGTGTCTGCCTGTTCCTGTTTTATTTTGGTAACTGTCTGTGTCAGTGCGCGTCTCGTGCTTGTTTCCTGTCTGCCTGATTACCCTAATGTGATCTCCCCGTCTGCTTGGATGTTTGTCTGTCAGTACATATTGTTCAGGTGTTTCCTTCATTTTTGCTGGTCCGTTGTCATTTCTCTGTCCTGTCTGCTGTTTGTTGTATAGTCGTGTTTTTTCTGTCTCAGATCCCTGGCTGTATGATCATTGTGCACTACTGTGAAATTGCTTCTCTCCTGCATGTTCAACAGAAGATTACTTCTTTTGTTTGTGGATTTTGTATTTTGTTGCTGTTTTGGAATTACCTGGTTTTGTTGGACAGGATCGTGTGGGATTTGTTTGGACACTACCAGTAAGCAGCACCCAGAGTTTTGTTAAGAAATTCTTCTCATGAAGCCTACCTCGCTTGAGTGTCTTCCTGCCAGAGCACAGCACCTATTTTTACAGAATCCCTTCCTCCAAACAAACCCGAAAGTAAAAAAAAACTCCTTTCCCCATTGTAACGAAAATACACTTTTTGTGGCAATATTTTATTTTCTGAATATCAAATTAAAATCAACTCATTGTAGATAAAAAAATCTGCAAAGAAAAAACTGACTTTTGGACAGAATATTCTTTCTTGTATGAAACCGTTTCATCTCAGGGAAAGCTCTCATCAGCTGGAAATCTGTCTTGAAATGCATTGCCAGGTCTAATAAGTGTACACATTGCACGCTTGTCATTTTTGTCCCTGACAAGTTTGATAAAACTTAATGAGTCTGGTAAACTTGTGAAGTGAGATTACAAACGCATTAATCGGCTGTTGACTGCTCGTAAAACTCAGTGCTGATCACTATGATTGCAGTGCAAAAGCATATTTTTCCATGCTGAATCCCAAAGCCTTTTGAGCAGCACAAGACCAACGTGTTTGTCCTCTGCTGCATCTGAATCTAGTATGAAGGAACAGTTTGACAATTTGGAAAATATACTTATTTGCTTTCTTGCAGAGAATTATATGCGAAGATCGATACCACTGTCATGTCTGTCTCCAGGTAGCTGCTGCGCCCGACAAAAAATAGTCCCCCACATAAAAACACACTTTGGTTTTTATACGTTTAACAACCCAGATACATAGTGTTAATTTTTTAGACGTGCTGGAAGGCAGAGCCAGGCTAGCTGTTTTCCAGTTTCCAGTCTTTATGCTACGCTAAGCTAAGTTTCTGGCTGCAGCTTCATATTTACCTGACACACATGAGAGTGGTATCAATGTTCTGATCTAACTCTGGGCAAGAAAGCCATGAAGCATGTTTACAAAAGAGTTGAAACTCCAGGCAGGTACAGAGTTGTCTGGGTTGGAGCAGACAACATCTCGTTGTTATTTCTTCTTCCTGTCGCTGCCCTCCAGTTCATTCACATGCTGCAGCTGCCCCCTCCCACCAGCGGGGGCGCTACAGGACCGTATGCTGCTGCCCTCTGCTGGCTCTGTCTCGCTGCATGACCTGTTGCTGTGTTTTATATTCATGTCTCTTTTCCTGACATCCTCCGTCACAGGTTGGTCACCCATGGTGCTGTTGCTGTGGGGATCATCATTAAGCATGGGGTCGTTGGGGGCGGGGTTTGTGACGATGCCCATGAAGAGGGGGGCCAGGGAGGCATCGTCAACAAGGGCGAAGAGGAAGGGGGAGTTGACGGAGAAGAGGGAGACGGAGCGCATGGAGGTAACAGCAGTGGTGGCGGACGCCTCCGCGCCTTCCTCGTTAAGTTCAATGGTGCTGGCGTGGCGGACACCCGTCACCCTCAAAGGGTGGTCGGAAATGCCAGAAAGGTCAGGACCTGAAAACAGAGAGCCGAGGCCTGATAGAGAGAATCAGAGAGAGAGAGAGAGAGAGCAGAGTTAAAGACTAAGAGCCAGATATAATGCATTTCCCAGTGCATTGATGCACTGAAGTTTTATCACGTTCACGATGCTGACTGGCACATTAACACTTCTTATGCCTGTATCATCTGTCCAGGGTCATCTGACACTACACAGAATGACCAGTGTGTGTTGCTCTTTAGCTGTCTGGAAGTGAAATCACCACCCCAGTATCTATAGTGTTAGACATCCCTTATGTCTTGGTGAAGCTAGTTTTCTCACCCATGCTGGTCAGTGCTTCCTGGAGCTCCTGGCGGTACTGCAGCTTCACCTTGGGTAAGTTGACCTGCATTGTTTTCTCCTGAGGTAGACGTCTGTAAAGGTCGGAGATGTTCAGTTTGGGAAGCACCGATGACACGTTTCCTCTTCCCAGGAGGGGCATGACGATTAAGAAGCTGGTGTTTCTCTTGAAGGGAAAACTGGCAACCTGGACCAGAGAGAGGGATTTATTACAACGCTAAACATGTAGACTATAGGAACACATGGTAAAAGCTTCCCTTGAGGCATAATTTAGACACACAAGTTATTTAAAGCATGGTCACAGAAGACACTTGTTTATGATTGGCTGCATGGTCAAAGTTGTAAAACAAGACATAGTTCTGGTCAACAGTTTCATCACTGGCAGCAGGATGCTAAACACGGTAGGCCAAACATCCATCTCCCAAGCCACGACCTCCAGCTCTTTCTGGGAAATCCCAAGATGGGATCTAAAGTCAGGCTGAGGGAGGGAGATGAAACCAGTGCCCTGGTCTCTTCCATTTTAGAGTTGACAAGAAAACCACAAGAGCAAGGTGTCTAGGAGGAATCCGAATCAGATCCCACCTCCTCAAAAACTCCTTTCAATACATGGGAGCAAATGTTTAGCTCTGAATTCCTTTCATGTCTTTAGCTCCTTACCCTGTGAGACCAGCTACGCTAAAAACAAAACTAATTTCGGCTGATTGCATCATTCTTTTAGTGAATATCCAAAGCCTACAACCCCAGCTGACGGCAGGAACATCTGAAAGACAACTGAGAACCCTGCCACATCAGTTATTTTCATACATCAGGACACTTGGTTGTGTTTTAATTTTCAAAATCTCACAAAATCTTAAACAGTCTTCAGCCCAATTACTGCAATAGCAGCACTGTAAAGAGGTGTCCTGTTAGGGCACCAGGCTGAATGTCCAGACCATCCGGAACTCCATTGCTGATATACCCATGAAGGTACTGGTGTTACCTGTGCTTCCAGTTCTGGATCGTCCAGCAGGCGGAGAGGGTACTGGGCAGACTTCATCATGTCCACCGACACGGAGTTCTGGTTGTCCAGGTAGAAAACTCCTTTGGAAGTCACTAATGGGTCGAATCGTGTCTGCCATTCACCTGACAAAGACAGAGAAGGAATCTTTAGTAACTTAAGGAAAAATCTGTTTTTTGACAACCTGAATTCATGAACCACCTGGTCCTGAACCACGTCCTGATAAGCACTGGACTCTGCTAAAGGTGAGCCGTATCACCTGTTTGTAATGTTCAAGGACTGGATATTAAGAAGCTGCCCTGGTCTGAAAAGCGTCTGGTCTGGTTATATTGGGGTGGCATGTGTAGTGTTTGCAGATGATGGTCTCCTTTTGGCCCTGACCGTGATCTCCACCGTGCAATGAAGCAATTTGCAGCCACTATGAAGAGAAGTGTTGGGGCACTGCAATAATGTAATGGTTAAGGTGCATACCACATAACCCCAACAGTTTGTTTTCTGGCCAAGGACCCCTGTTGCATATTCCTTTTTCTTTCTTTCCATGTTTCTCATGTCTATCTACACTGTTATGTCAAAAAAAGATATAATGCCAAAACATTATCTTATTTTTAAGATTAAAAAGAGCCTCCAGCAGCTCCCCCGGGTGCCGGACTTCAGCAGACTTTGGGTCTCATTTGTGAGTGATGACCAAAAGCATTATAAGACTCACTGCTACCGTTGCAGTAATAGAGGCTTTGGAGACTGGTTTGGTTTTGGAGAGTGCTATGCTATAAAATAAGACCTCTAATTCGGCATTCTGTTTGTCTTCCAACCCTCAGATGTGGTCGTGAGTTTTTGCTATTGACAGATGGCGTGAAACATGGATCAAAGCAATTGACGTTAGGTTACTCTGTAGGTAAGCTGGGTTCACTGTACAAGAGACAAATGGGAGGTCAGTGCTTCAAAAAGACTTTGTTATTGAGCAGCTGCTCTACAACTAGAGTGGTGAAGGGGTTCAGACAACTGGTGAAGATACTCCTATGGTGCCTTCCTTTGGAGGCTCTGGATACACTGCACAGATTTCATATCCCAACTAGCCAGACAGCACATAGGGATCGCCTATGAAGAGCTGTTTTTGTGGGACATCTCGCTCCACTCTGATCTGATTAGGTTGTGGCAGGAAAGGAGCA